AACTCTGAAGGCTGGATGTGTTCTGGAGCTCTGCCTTTTTGAGGGTTTAGAAAGATAAAGTGGTGTATTTATGATGCACACTGCCTTCAGCGGGGTTTGTAATCAGACACCTTAAAGCCTCTGATAAAACAGACTGCCCACACTGAATGGGATGAGGACTAATGAATGCCCTTGTGTCTGTTCTGCTCTGGTTTTGGGATCTCAGAATTGCAGGGAAGTAATGTTCTTTGTCTTAGGGTTATGTTGATACAGAAGAAATCATGCCCAGCAAAGGTACCTTTGCTTGATTTGAAATTTTAACGCAACCTGTAAAAGAATTCTTTAGGTATGTCTCAAGAGGATTCAGTGTTTAGATTTTAAAAAATAGTAAGTAATAATACTTACATGAATACTAGTATTTGATACTTAAAACCTCATGATGTAGTAAAATATGTATAAAGAAGTTCATCGCAGTAATATTTATTTATTTTTTTAAGATTTTATTTATTTATTTGAGACAGAGAGGATGAGAGAGACAGAGAGCACATGAGAGGGGGGAGGGTCAGAGGGAGAAGCAGGCTCCCCGCCAAGCAGGGAGCCCGATGCGGGACTCGATCCCGGGACTCCAGGATCATGACCTGAGCCGAAGGCAGTCGCTTAACCAACTGAGCCACCCAGGCGCCTTCATCGTAGTAATATTTAATATTGCTAAATTAACAACCCTGTAGAGTCAAACATAGGCTCAGCTGATTTTTTAAAGATTTATTTATTTGAGGGGCGCCTGGGTGGCTCAGTTGGTTAAGCGACTGCCTTCGGCTCAGGTCATGATCCTGGAGTCCCGGGATCGAGTCCCGCGTCGGGCTCCCTGCTCGGCAGGGAGTCTGCTTCTCCCTCTGACCCTCTTCCCTCTCATGCTCTCTGTCTCTCATTCTCTTTCTTGCAAATAAATAAAATCTTAAAAAAAAAAAAATTTATTGAGAGAGAAAAAGAGTGCATTCACACGCTCGTGGGGGGAGGGGCAGAGGGAGAGAGAATCTCAAGCAGACTCCGTGCTGAGCGCGGAGCCTGATGAGCATGACCCTGACATCATGACCTGAGTTGAAATCAAGAATCGGACACTTAACTGACTGAGCCACCCAGGAGCCCCTCAGCTGATTTTTTTCAAGAGCCTTCAAAAGGTACATAATCTTTGACATAATAATTCCATCTTTGGAAATCTGCTCTGAGGATTTTAACTTACAGTCACCTTTGCTTTTGGGCATCTCAGCTGAGTGAGCCATGATGCCCACAGTCACTGAGTCCACCACACCTCCCTCATTTTCTCGTCAAGTGGCCTTTCCCACACTGGCACATGTCTTTCCCTCTGACCCCTAGAGCAGTGGTTAGCTGCATGCTCTGCCTCAGCTCTTTCCTCCCTAAGCCTTGGAGTCCTGTCCTCGCCGTTCACCTGTGGTGCAGGTTGTCCTGTGCATGTTTCCAGGACTTTGTGTGGATCACAGAGGCTTGAGTGAAACTAGCCCTTTTGATTTTTATTAGTTCAGCGTGTGTGGGTAGAGCCCCTCTCTCTTTTTTCCCCCTGTGTGCATCATAGGACAATGTCCCATGCTCTCCCCCCTTGCCTGTAAGACCCATGGGGGTGGCTAGGCTGAGCATGCCTGTTTTGGCTTGTGTTCTCAGCATCCAGCACACTGTCTTACTTCCTAGGCATTAAAATGTATTTGAGTGAGTAGATGGATGTTCAGGGGATTTGATCCTTAGATCACTTAAATAAAGCCCACGTATCTTTAAAGACTAGTGTTTGAGGTGTAGCCAGAGGCAGCCTGAGACAGTGCTGGGAAGGAAGGGGTGTAGTGTGCAGCAGTCTGGTCCTTTTGTGAGGGAATGATCTGGAAGCTTTGCACCGTGTCAGTTTACACAGGTAGACTTGTCTGCAGGAAACAGGAGGGAGGCACCGCAGGGCTCCTGCCTTCTAGCGAAGAGGAAGAGGGTTTCAAAGAGGCAGCATCAGGGTGGGTGAGGAGTAGTTCATTTGGATTATTAAAAATGTTTGGTTTGCTCATAAATTCGATGAGATATTTGTATTTACTCTGTGATTTGAATTTTACATATATTTTTTTAAGATTTTATTTATTTGACAGAGAGAGATAGTGAGAGCAGGAACACAAGCAGGGGGGAGTGGGAGAGGGAGAAAGCTTCCTGATGAGCAAGGAGCCCAATGAGGGGCTTGATCCCAGGACCCTGGGATCGTGACCTGAGCCAAAGGCAGAAGCTTAATGACTGAGCCACCCAGGCGCCCCTGAATTTTACATATTTTAAATTTATACTAGAATTGGCTGTGTAAACTGTTAACCTTTTTCTTGAGTTTTATGTCTATATCTTCCCTCATCTTCCCCCAGCTTCCCATATGGATTGCTTTCTAAAAAGATGAGAGAAAAATACAGCATGTACATATGTCTCCCCCCCCTTATTTCCACTTCTACAACAACACCCCTCCCTTGTAGCCAGGCTTCAGAGTAACCAGGGAGGGTTCTTTGCTGCCTGCCCTGAGAACCATCTTTTCTCACGTCTGGCCAGGCTCTGCCCCGCTCCCCCCTTGTGGACCCTAGACACCTGTCAGCCAGCCTCTGCAGTCTGTCTTCAGTCTGAAGATGCACCTTGCCTCTCCACTTACTTTTGCCTCCAGGAGGCAGAGTAGCATTGTGAAACTTAAGCTTTGGTTTTGTTAAATCCCCAGTTTCCTCATTTTCTACAAGGGTGATGCGTGCTTCTGGTTTTGGATCACATGAATGTGTGCTGCTCTGTGGGACAGTGGTCTTGTCCTCTGGGCTGGGTAGTCAGAAAGAGAGCCCCACTTGGGTCTGATTTTTAACCAGAAAAGAGTCCAGACAGCTGTACATGTGAATCCAGGCTGAGGCGGTTTGACAGTGGTCTCCACACCCTGTCTCCCACTGTGACCATGCCCATAGGAGCTGCATGGGAGACAAGTGCTCGTGGGGGGTTGGCTCCCCATTTTCTTCTTCCAAAGAAAAAGAATAGGGAACTTTAACTTTGTTTCGTGCGTTAAGCCATAAGACAGTTTAGGTATTTGAATTAGAGCGAACTATGATACATTTTTCCATTTTAATTTTTTCCCTCCTCTCTTGATGTGGCAAGTACCTGAAAGAATTTGTATTTGGAGATTGGGATAATTGTGACAACCAGTTTGAAGAAGAAGCTCTTACCTGGGCTCATATTCTCTTCAGCGACATCTGGTGGTGTCTGGAGACAGTTTTGGTTGTCACACTGGGGAAGGGGGTCCTGCTGAATGTCCCACAGTGGACAAGACAGCCCCCACCACAGAGAATGATCCAACCTAAAACTCCACAGTCATGCCGAAGTTAAGATTACCTGCTTAGTAATTCAGTGACAACGTGGGTGTGCACTCCTAAGAGCTCCCCTCTGAGGGTTTGTGAAAGCCAGTAGTTGGCCACCATTTGCTGATTAATCTCCAGCTTCCGCTTCCATACCCACTGATATGGGTGTTCTTTTAAGTACCTTTCATGGCATATTTTATTAAAGGAACCAGTTTAATGTGAACAATGTAGTGGCATTTAGCACGTTCACTGTGTTGTATATAACCATCACCTCTATCTAGTTACAGGAGGTTTCCGTCTTCCCAAAGGGAGCCTTGTACCTGTTGAGCAGTATTCATCCCACAGACATGCACACAGAGCCCCTAGCAACCACCGCATTCTGTCTCTGTGGGTTTGCCTCTTTCATATAAATAGAATATTTCATATAAATACCCCATTTAAATGGATATTTCATACACATGGAATCATACCCTTTGTTATCTTTTGTGTCTGGCTTCTTCAGGTAGCCTAATGTTTTCAGGGACCATCCACACTGTAGTATGTGCTGGTGTTTCACTCCTTTTCATGACTGAGTAATATTCCATTGTGTGGCTGTGCCACCCTTTGTTTATCCGTTTATTTATTGGTGGACACTGAGCTCTTGCCACCTCTTGGCCGTTGTGGTGAGGTATGAGTACCGTTCTTCAGTTCTGGGGGGTATATGCCTAGGAGTGGACTTGCTGGATCATATGGCAAATCTGTGTTTAACTTTTTGAAGAACCTCCATACTGTTTTCTTTCCACACTTACTTTTATTGACAAAAAGCTTGTGTTTGCTAATAACATTTGCAACATAATTCCAAAATAAAACTATTTTGTTAAATAAATGCCTTAGAATTTACAGTTCAACTGGGGGACATTTCAGCTTGTTAATACCTCTCCTGACCTCCAGACTAGATGTGTGCCTGGGAGTTTTAGACGCTCGAGATAATGAATCCATCAAGAGGCAGGTGGTAATCTGTGAAACATCCAGAATGGGACTTTTCACACACAGTTTAATTTGGAGAGATCACAAAAGCCTATTTAAGTGTTTTGAAACTTAGTTTATGAGAAAGAACAAGCAGATATTCCAGAAAAAAATCTAGAATTAAGTGTACTTTGGTTCTGCCTGCAGTACTGAGAGAGGAGAGTTGGGGGCTCTTCCAGGGGGCCTCCTGGCCACCAGGGCTAGGGCTGGTGGTGGGAGTGACCCAGGGGTGGGTTGCACGTGTGCCCCTATAGACCAGCCACACTTGGAAAGTGCCAGGCCTTCTTTTGAGGTTCAGATGCATTCCTTTACATGTCTAATGGCAGAGTCTGGGTAAGAGTACTTCAGAAGCTTCTTGAATTGCAGTGATTGTTTTTACTGTACTGTAATTTTTCTAGTAACAGGATTCTAAGTATGCCTTCCCCACGGTACTGTTCATTTGGATTCAAGGTATTTTCCATGAGGCATTGCTAAGGATTTTTTAAAAAGAAATTGAGATCAGAGTTCTTTTCCACCCTGAAAAGCCAAATAGTAAGTGAAATGACTGGGGCAAGAAATGGTGATAGGGAAGGGATGGATTTATATGCTCTTTCAGATGTATGGAATGTTATTGGTTGCAGCCCGAATGCAATGCATATATAGCTTTTTCTCTGTCTGTTGCAGACAACTTTTCATGCATTGGAGACCAGACCAGAGCACTTCTGAATTAAGGTAATGTTGATGTAATTGATCCTTGTTTTTAAAGCACAGTGTTTACATTTCTTCAGGGTTTCTTATTTTAATAACCTGGTCTTTGTACAGTTTTGCCCATTTCTTTTTTAAGCCCATAGTTGGTTTTCAGAACAGATTGTTTCTGAGAAGCATGTTTTTTTGAAAGGCTCTGTCTAGTGTTCAGAAGGAAGAGATTATGGTTCACATTCTGGACAAGAGCAGAATTTCTCCAACTTTTTTCATTAGAAAGCAGGAGAGCCCTTTTATAAATCAGATCTTAGTTAGAATACCAGTAGATCGTGCAGATAAAGGTGAAGCCACATGATTCATAAGAAAATCCCTACAGGGGCGCCTGGGTGGCTCAGTCGTTAGGCGTCTGCCTTCGGCTCGGGTCATGGTCCCAGCGTCCTGGGGTCGAGCCCCACATCGGGCTCCCTGCTTGGTGGGAAGCCTACTTCTCCCTCTCCCACTCCCCTTGCTTGTGTTCCCTCTCTGGCTGTGTCTCTCTCTGTCAAATAAATAAAATCTTAGAAAAGAAAAGAAAATCCCTATAAATTTGTGTGAAGTGGGAGTGATAAAGCAAATGTATCACAGAGCCAGGGGTCAGTGAATCTGGTTGAGGGTACAATTCTTTGTGTAATTGTTACAACTCTATAAGTTGAAAGAATTTTTTTGTAAAGCTGTTATTTATTTGAGAGAAGGGAGAGCGCGTGAGTGCATGTGCACAGGGAGAGAAGAGCGGGGTGGGGTGGGGAGGGGAGGATCCCAGGCAGACTCTCCGCGGAGGCACGGAGCCCGACTCGGGGCTTCATCCCACGACCCTGAGATCACAACCTGAGCTGAAACCAAGAGTCAGACTCTTAACAGGCTGAGCCACCCACACAGCCCAAGTTGAAAGAACTTTAAAAAGCAAAACTAAATTAGGGGCGCCTGGGTGGCTCAGTTGGTGAAGCGTCTGTCTGCCTTTGGCTCAGGTCGTGATCTCAGGGTCCTGGGATGGAGCCCCGCATCGGGCTCTCTGTTCAGCAGAGAGTCTGCTTCTTCTCCCTCTGTGCTTACGCTCTCGCCTGTGCACGCACGTGCACACACGTACTCTCTCTCTCTCAAATAAAAAAATAAAATCTTTAAAAACAAAAACCAAAAAAAGCAAAACTAAATTAAATGACTTCATTGCTTGAATAATTGGTTGTCCGTATGCAGAAGGTGAACTTGGTACCATAGACAAAATTTAACTCAAAGTGAATCATAGACCTTAAATATTCACCCTAAATAGAAGACATTGGAGATTGTTAAGACTTTGGGTTTGGCAAAGATTTCTTAATTATGACATCAAAGATAGAATCCATAAAAGAGAACATTTATAAATTAGACTTCGTCAAGATTAAAAGCCTCGGCTCCTTCAAAGACACTGTTAAGAAAATGAAAAGACAAGCCTCAGGCTGGCAGAAAGTGCTAACATGTGACACGTCTTAGATGACTTGTATACAGAGTAAGTAAACAACTCTTAAAATTCAATGTGAAGGAAGCAAGTGATGTGAACAGACACTTCACCAGAAAGTATAGAGAGAGATAGCAGATAAGCGTGTTTGAAAAGATGCCCAGGGCGCCTGGGGGCTCAGTCGGTTAAGCATCTGCCTTCAGCTGAGGTCATGATCCCGGGTCCTGGGATCAAGTCCCATGTCAGTCTCCCTGCTCAGCAGAGAATCTGCTTCTTCTCCCTCTCCCTCTGCCCCTCCTCCCTGCTTGTGCTCATCTCTCTCTTTCTCTTGCTCTCTTTCTCTTCTCTCTCTTGCAAAATAAAATCTTTAAAAAAAAAAAGAAAGAAAAGATGGCCAAAATCATTAGCTGTTGGGAGATGGAAATTAAATCCATAAGGAGACACCACTGTCCAGCTCCTAAGCGGGTCAGCAGCTGATAACGTCAAGCGCGGACGAGGACGTGCAGGAACCAGGCTCTCAGGCACTGCTGGTGGGGGTGAAAAATGGTGCAGGTACTTTGAAAACAGTTTGGCAGTTTCTTAAAATGTTAAGCGTATGCCTACCATATATGTTCCCTCCTCAGTGTGTCCCCAAGAGAAACAAAAGGAGATGTTCGTATAAAGACTTGTAAACACAGCAACATGGATGAGTGTCAAAATAATGCTGAGTGAACAGAGCCAGATCGTAAGAAAGTACATGCTGTATGACTCCGTGTGCATAAAATTCGGGAAGTGCGCACTGGTGTGTAGTGACAAAAAGCAGATGAATGGCACCTGGGGGAGGGGTGGGATTTCAGAGGGGCACAAGGAGACTTCTGAGGATGATGGACACGTTCATTACCTGAATTGTGTCGCTGGTTTCAGAGATGTGTACATGTGTTAGGTATTAAGTTGTTCATATTTATTGTGTGACTTGCATTTCAATAGGTATTTTATGTTTTAAAAATGAAATGAACAATTAGAAAGTGATGTGAGCAGGTCTCATCTCTACCAGGTGAACCCCCCGTATTTCACTGGCTGCCACTGTTAATTGTGTTCTTGATTTTTGCCTACTCCACTGACTCTGGGCAGGAAGCCTGGCAGGTGAAGGAGGAGGTAATTTTCTTAAATCATTTCAGGCTAAAAAATCTTGCTGCTACTTTTACAAGTCCTACTTAGTGAGAGTTTAGTGAGAGAGAAGGATGCTGAAATGAATCCATCCCCAGTTGAGGATCTCCCACAGGAATGAAGAGGGGAGGAAGGGTTCAGTGCTATGGGCTACTGTGGTTGTTGGTGGCCACTGGCCACGTGTGACTGAGGAGCACTTGGAGTGAGGCTGGTCCAAACCGAAATGTAAAATACACGCTGGATTTCGAAAACTTAGTACGACACATGAATGTGAAATACCCATTTATAATTGTCTTATATTGTTTACATGTTGAAATAACATTTTTGATATATTGGATTAAATAAATATATTATTAAAATTACTGTTAACTTATTTTTTATTTTAGTTTTTTAATATGGGCACTGGAAAATGAAAACCTCCATATGTGGTTCACATTGTGTTTGTTTTTTTTTTAAAGATTTTATTTATTTATTTGAGAGAGAGAGAGAATGAGAGAGAGCACATGAGAGGGGGGAGGGTCAGAGGGAGAAGCAGGCTCCCTGCCAAGCAGGGAGCCCGATGGGGGACTCGATCCAGGGACTCCAGGATCATGACCTGAGCCGAAGGCAGTCGCTTAACCAACTGAGCCACCCAGGCGCCCCCACATTGTGTTTCTATTGGACAGCACCGACGAGCTGATTGGACAAGATGTAGGAGCCTGTGAGCATGGGGGCTGGAGGGGATATCCAGAAACTCTTATCCCTGATGAATGAGTTCTCCTGAACTGGTGGTATTTAGCTGGAAAGCAATTTTAAGATGCTTACCCTAGAAGTGGAGAAACTAAGATCTCTTGCCCCTGGTGGAGCATCTGCAAAAGAAGAAAAAAGGTCTCCACACTATCCAGGTCAGAAGGCTGTCTTGAGATGCTAACTTCTGTTGCATCAGTGTCTCAAGAGCTTGCCCTGGGGTGATATGTGGGTACAGGCGACAAGGAAGTGGAACATTTTTTTATGGTCCTGTGAACATTGCAAGCCAGTTAGACTGCTTCGGCACCTGGCGTGGGTAACTCCGGAGGTAACCCGCATCAGAATGGGGGCCTTGCCATTTGTGACTCCATCCGTATCTCTTGTTTACCACGTGGACAATTGGTAGGACCTCTTCCCGAGATGGTGAGGACACATGTGAGGACACAGTATGTGCTCCTAAATCACAGCTGTGACCTGGGAGTGGATTGTAAATCCCCTTTTACTTTTTTTTTTTTTTACACATTAACGTTCTTAGTTTATTAATCCTCTCATGAAAAACCTGCACAATCACCACAGATAAAACCACTGCAGCATCTTACTCCTTCAGTTGTCCAATCTCCAGGTCACTTTTTTTTTTTTTGAAGATTTTGTTTATTCATTTGACAGAGAGCGATAGAGGGAACACAAGCAGGGGGAGTGGGAGAGGGAGAAGCAGGTTTCCTGTAGAGCAGGGAGCCCAATGTGGGGCTCGATCCCAGGACCCTGGGATCATGACCTGAGCCAAAGGCAGATGCTTAACGACTGAGCCACCCAGGCGCCCCTCCAGCTCACCTTTTGCCAGCACCAACATTGGCTTTTGCAGTCCCCCTGACTTTCTTCATTCTGTTCTTGTGGTCCTTTCGCTGTTTTCTTGATGTTTTTTCTTCTCATACAGGCTATGTCTTGCTAGTCTGTGTTTGGGTTCATTTTTCTTTGCATAATCCAAGGAATCATAAATCATGCCAAAGCCAGTTGTCTTGCCACCACCAAACTGCGTTCTGAATCCAAATACAAATATGACATCTGGTGTGGTCTTATACATTTTGGCTAGTTTTTCCCGAATTTCTGTCTTAGGTACTGTTGCCTTTCCGGGGTGAAGGACATCAATGACCATCTGTTTCCGCTGAAGTGTAGTTGGTTGGTCATGAAGTTCCTGGTCTGGATAGTTATTGTGTCGTTCATGATGGCAGCCCCCCCTTTTACTTCTGAAGTGGTTAGGTATCCAAGTGGTGAAATCATCAAGATTTTCTGAGTCAAATCCTTAAAAGGACATTTGACTGTCACTCTTTAGACTCTAGTGCCTGAGGACAGGGAGTTTGTGTTTTTCACCACAGTGTCATCCTGTCATGGCAGGTGCTTAATACACAGATGTGAGTGAGTAAGGTGTTTGTAGAGCAAGGCCAAGAGTGCTGCTGAGAAGAGAAGAATTCTACTTCTTTGGACTCAAAACTGGACATAACGCCTAATCAGAAAGCAAGCAGGCTGCACCTGTTCCCATTGCAACAGAAATGATCTGATGGTGAAGAATCACAGAGCTGTTTGGTGAAAATCAAGACATATTCAGAAGAAATTAATATATATTGATAAGTATGAGTCATGCTTTTGGTTTCTGTAATTTTAGGGGGAGATGCAAGCTGCAGGCTGTCTGAAT